GTCACCAGGAGCCATCTTCAACGCCTCTGCTTTGAGTACCACTGTAAGGGAGAGTGCTTAAAGAAAGGAGGAGCTTAGAGTCAACCACAGGGCAATCAACATCATGTGACAGGCTCCTTCAGTGGAGGCCTTCCAGGGAGGCAAGCCAGTTTGTCTCAGCCGCCTTTGGCTGCATTCTTAATTTCAGTGGTTGCGCCAAAAGAAAAGCCAGTGCTAGAAGAACTAGTCTTCTCGTTGCCAAGAAGCAGTTTGCATCACCTGTCCGGTGTTTGTGAAAGCACAGCATTGGGGAAAGCAGAAGCGGGTACAGAGAAACCAACAATGAACATCATAGATTTACTGAAAGATCAAAATAGCAGAATGACTTAGAGGCAGCTTACCAGTGTCGTCCTTTGATGTGGAGTGGGACAGTCGTGCTCAAGTACTTACTTGGGGCAAGATGGAACATTCTGGAAATCTGGAAATACTTGGCCATGGTGGTGCACACCTTTTATCCCAGCTTTCTGGAAGCAGAGGCAGGCAAATCTCTGTGAGTTCAATACCACCCCAGTCTGCACGGGCCAACCAGGTATATGTAGAAAGACCCTGTTTAAACATAACAACTACAACAAAAACAGCTGGGAAAGGTTTGCAGGTGATCACAGGAGCCATAAGGAAAGGAAGCAGGCTTCTCCAGAATGAAGAGGGAAACAGGGCCCTCTCTGCCACTTCTGGGTTTTCTATGGGAAAGACCCTGAAAATCTTACACAACTGCCTTGTCATTCTTTGAACTTACCACAAATTCTCTAGACTAGAGAACACAATTGAAGAGTTGAAAGGATGGGGGTGAAGAAAACACATGAGGAAAGGGCTGAGGCTTACGTGACTAACTCTTCAAGCAAGATCTTCAGGCACATCTTGTTCACTCGGTTGGCTATAGATTCCTCAAGTGTCTGCTCTCTGGGCTGTGGTCTGGTTACAGGAGCTAGAGTGATGGGGAAGAGACAGATTATATGAGTAAATAAGAAATCAAAGGAGCCTACTATGGTAAAATTAAAATTTTTACCTACAATGGTAGAATTTAAAAAGTGAAGATGAAGCATACAAGAGAATGACAGCAAAAAGAGGCCAAGAACACAGCAGAGTGGTGGTGGTGGCGGGGGGGGGGGGAGATAGCTCAGCATCTAAAGGCTTCCTGCATAAAGACCTAAGTCTGCAATCCCAGCATCCATGAAAAACCAGACCCACTAGCACATACCTGCAACTCAAGCACTAGGGGAGAGATGGTGGAGACAGAGGATGCCTAGGGGTTCACTGACCACCAATCTAGCCAAAACTGTGAGCCACAGGGCCAGTGAGACCCTGTCTTATAAAATAGAGAACAACAGAAGAAGGCAGTCAAACATTAACCTCTGGCCTATGCCCTCCCATAGGCACACACATATCACACACACATATACACCATATACAAAGAAAAAGAAAAGAAAGGAAGGAGGGAAGGACTGGGGAGAGAAAGGAAGAAAGAAAAGGAAAGGGTAGTGAGACACAGGGCCTATCATAAAAAGAAGCTGTATTTGGATAGTTTTGTGCTTATAGTAATAATAATGCTCTCACATTTAAATTAAGTTCCTTTTGAGAATTTTAGTTTGGCTCAGCTGAGGTTAGGAAATACATATTAATACATATTAATGATGGGGACATTTATGATTTCATAGCATGTGCCAGAGATCTTGGCCCTTTCATCTTTCAGTCAAAGGTGGAAAGGAAGGCAGGATGCCTGAGAAGGGTGGATCTTAGTGGAAGCAAAGGGAGATAGATAGTGTGTAGAATTGGTGTCCAAAACCAGTGCAAATAGAACCGGGAGAGACAGCTCAGCAGTTAGGAGTGTTTCCTGCTCCATAGAGCGGGCTCAGTTCCCTGCACACATGCTGAGCAGTGGTTCAGAGGTCTAAAGGGGAATAAAATAAAAGTTCCAACAGAGCTGTGGTTTTTGTTGGAGGCCTGATGAGAAAATAGGGCTCCTTTCAAACTTGTAGACATTACCCACAGAGGAATTCACAAAGGTTCTTGATCTTTAAGGCTGACAGTATATTGTAATGCCCTGTGCCTTTCTTGAATTATGGCATCCCTAACTTTTTACTCTTCTGCCCCCCTCCCTACTCTTTTTTTTTTTTTTTAAGATTTATTTATTTATTATGTATACAGTGTTCTGTCTGTATGTATGCTTGCAGGCCAGAAGAGGGCACCAGATCTCATTATGGATGGCTGTGAGCCACCATGTGGTTGCTGGGAATTGAACTCAGGACCTCTAGAAGAGCAGTCAGTGCTCTTAACCTCTGAACCATCTCTCCACCCCCTCCTTCAGTCTTAAGGACACCAGGTGTAGCCAGAAAATGCAGATTTGTCTCTTTATTTTGAGGTCAATGGTTAACAACTGTATTTCACTTAGCATGAACCCTAGCATATCCAAATGTTCTGGCATTAAGGTGCCTATCACAAAAATAGAAAATTAACATGGAAAAATTATAAAAAGTCTATTTCTGCTACTATTTGGGAATCTTTTCTTGTATGTTATTTAAATTGGTCATAAGAGCAAAACATGAAGTGGCTGAAATACATAAGAATTTATAGATTTAGGTGATCCTGGACAGAGCACTAATCCCTGACTTCCTCCTCTGTAACAGGGGAAGGTTGAAGCTGATGGCTTATCAGACCCTGGTTTTCCTAATGACCTTTACCTAACTATACCTTTACCATTATATTCTGAAGTATGATGTCTCAGACACAGGACATGCTGCTCAACTCCCAGAAGTCCCAGAATCCTTGCTGATTGTTGTCTGGTTAAAGTCACCATTGTACTTAACCTATGCTCCCAGCATTGTTAAGAGTTTTCACCTTATCAACACATTTACTTCATGTATATACAAAATATAAAAATAAACTTAGCTTCAAAACAAAACAAAAACCAAAAACTGATTCCCTGGGGCTGGGGAGATGGCTCAGTAGTTAGAGAGCTCTTTGCTGCTCTGCACAGGACTCAAGTTCAGTTCTCAGCAGGGAGCTCATAACCGCCTGTGACTGTAACTCCCAAGGATACAATGCTCTCTCCTGGCTTCTGTGGGTACCTGCATATATGTAACATACACAGACACACATATGCATACATATATGTAAATAAAAATAAATCTGAAAAATTGCTTCCCAACTTTTGTTTTATTGCTGGTGTGTACACTACATGTCACAGAATGTCCACGTTGCTTATCACAGAACATGTCCTGTGCTTTGGAAGTGCTCGTACTTCATAACATTAAAATACCTACTTTGAAATTTCCAAAATGTCTACATATCTGTTACTTCATGTGGTTCTCTATAATAATGTGAGATTGCTAACAGAAAATGGGTGTATGCAAAAGGATAAGTAACAAGTTCTCAAAGCTCTGTATATATGTTTAATATGCATCTTTGATCAGTGGTAAAAGAGGTGCCAGGTTATTTGTTGGAAGACTGACCTCAGACATGTGAATGAAACACACCTACTCACACACTGCACATATGGCTACCAAGTGATCAAACATCTTTTACATTTTACATTGGACATCATCTTAACTAGAAATCTCATGCTGCCTCTTGACCTTGAAAGAGATATGGTCATGGAATGGTCTCAGATATGTTTTTAAATTACACTTTATTCCTTAAGCATTTCCCTTTTCTTCTTATGACCTCAATATATGTTATTTGCTAATATGTCTTTTAAGACATTTTCCTGAATATAGATATGTGTAGACAGTGCAATTATAGATACACAAAATTTTAAGCATTACAATATCACATCAATGCATATTAACAACATTGAAATTGTATATACCTCTGTTCACTTTCATATGTCCAGTGGTTCTCTAAATTATTAGAGAATTAATAGTCATTTTCTATTTTCTAAAATGACTCCAGCCACCCATTGGTCCTTCTGTCTCTCTGATTCTTAGGTTCATACGCATAAAACAAAGACTTTCAGATGAGTCGTAAACTCATTTGCTTTTCAGATGTTGTCTGGTGTTTAAACACTGACATCAAAGCAAAGAGGCAATTATCAGTGTTCATTTGGTCTGGAACCCTGTTGCCTGAATTGCTATAGTTTTCCTTATGCTGAAAGAGAACTGTGTGTCACATCTTGCATTTGTCTATAAAGTGCCTTTTTCTAAAGCAGTTACACAGACATGTGTTTGGGCTCAGTAACCACAAGGAGGCATGGAAGCATCTCTCAAAATCTGCCAAGTTATTTTAGTTGTTAAAAGAGTTCTACCTTTGGTTCTTGAATTCCTAACAAGCAACTGTGCCTACCTGTGAGGATACATGTCGTTCGAGTTCATGTCTGGATCCACTGTTTTAAGGCCTGACATTAAAGCAGAAGTTATTACTTATTTTGTGAGTATTTCTGGGCAGTGGTAACACTTATGTGTTTTCCCTCTGTTCCATCTCCAGTGAAAACAAAAAGAACCATAGGACTTTCTTAGTACCGACAGAGTAAATGCCTTGACCTTTCTTGCCCTTTGAAGGTTAAAAGTTCTGACTGGGAGCAGAGGGTGCTTTTTTTGATATGTGAGTTCTTAAACACATGCTTCTGACAGCAAGGGGTTTGACTGAGCTGTGTAGAATGATTCTGGGACCCAACTTCAAAGTGCTGCATGATTTTAAAGCCAAAACAATCCCTTAAACCCGACCCTAACATTTTCAGACGTCCTTCTGAACATTCTGTTAAATGTCAGACGTTTGCTCCATGCATTTTTTGTGATCTTGATTCGCGGGGGCTTGATTGGTATTGGAAGAATAGCAACCTCTGTTGCAGAAGATGCCGTGTAGCACATCTTCCAGGCTGAGTCCTTGAGAAACGCAGACTACATTCTTAGGATTTTATTGTTTCTGCAAGATGCTTCAGAGGAGACATTTTGCAGACTGTGACATTTTGAAATTCCCATGTGTGCTATATTGATGTACTGTTTCTATTTTGACACTTTGCCTTTTAGGATATGCCCAGCCTGTGCGAAAACACATTTCTGATTTGGACATACAGCAGAACATGCAGCTGGGGAGGCTGTGTGACATCCTAGGTACAGTAAAGAGTTTTACATCAATGACTGTCTGCAACTTTTGGGTAGATATTAGTAAATATTTCTTTTTTCCCCTCCCTCTACAAGGAAAGAACTTAGCTTTCTAACCTACTTGCAAGGTAAATAATTATTTTGTTTTAGTAATGGGTTTACAGTGAAGTCAACTTGAATTTTAAAATGTTTAAACAATTACTATTTGGATAGTTTTCTAAATTCTTTTTTGAATAACAGTTTCTCCCTGATAGACTCAAATCATTTTGATGTATTGATTCCTTCCAGCAAATTGGGTCAAAACTCTCTATTTGTCAATATTGTCTAGCCTGTCTTCTGTGCAAGCAGTAGGAAGACTGAAGATTGTTTTCATTATAAGAGTAAGAGAGAAGCGAAGACAGATTCAGAAAACATGGAGTGCCTTGTGGGGAGTTCTTAGAAATCCAGGCCCTAGGCAGGTGGAAATGTCCTCGCAAAAGTTAAACTGGTACTGTTTTAGTCAGCCCTCAGCCTCAGACTGGGTCCAGGAGAGAAAATAGATGACTGCTAAGGCCAGGTTGCAAACCTGGCTGAAAGAAAAGATACAGATTACAAAGCACATGCAATAACATCAGTCAGTTTGTGAGGAACTGACCCCAAATTAAGAGTTAAATAAAAATTGAGTTTTTAGAAGTTAACAAGGACTTCTTTGTTTTGTTAAAATATAATTGTTTTGGCCCTTATTTAAGCAATAGGAGGAAGAATTTTATATTATCAATGACCAGCTGAGCTGGATCCCTGGAATGACATACTTTATATGATTCATAGATATTTCAACATCATTATTATTTTATAAATGCCATTTGGTAACAAAAATACATCAGTACTAGAAATTTCCAGTGTCCTAAAATAATAATAGCATAATTGCTTTCATCTGTTATCTAGGCGCCCAGGCTGCGCTTCCGCATTACACAGCAACAAGCCCTTCAGTGATGTGAGATTGATTTGTTAGTGCTGAGCTCTTCAACTAAAAGCCTGGCTGGCTGGGACCACTGAGGTGCAGCAGAGGGCAGACTTTACTCTGATTTATTTGAATTAATTTTTTTCCTTAGCTTTTTATATACCCTTCTATATATAGTACAAGCCACCACAAAGGAGTATCTTTATAAAAGGTCCTCATTATAGAGAAAAAGTATTAGGCTACTATTTTTGATAATCCAATAATTCAGTTTGTGCCTACAAAGAAAAATTTGCAACTCCGGCCATTTCTGGGCGAGTGTGCCTTTTTCTGGCACATTATCATTCTGACGCAGCAGTGCGACCACACAGCCTCTTCAGGAAGAGTTCAGGGTAGAGGGGGCTAGTGAAGGTACAGGTGCTTTAAATAAAAGTAGAAAAAGAAAGGAGAAATGATAAATGACCTGGGAGGAAAATTAAAACTTCTTTTATTCTGTTAATTACTAATAAGAAGTATTGGTTTTCCTGCTTATTCAGGAGGGAAATAAAGATAATCTGATCAGACCGCTGGGACTTGCCACTGGATATCGGCTGTGATGTCAGGATGGCCAGGTAGAGGCCCCACAGATAGTACTTTCCCTACCAATCAAAGAAAGTTCCATCTTCATAGCAGCTGCTTTCCATAACTACCTGTCAATTAATTGTGTTTGTATTCACAGTGAACTCCCACTCCACTGGGTAGTAGAGTTAGGGATACATATAGCTCTCACAGAAATGAACAAGAAAAATGACACTATCGACCTGATTTCCTTATTATTTGAACCCTAGAGATTTCTTTCCCAGTAAAATTCATTTTCTGCTACTATAGCTGTTTTTTCTGTTTATATCCTATTCCTTTATGCTTTTCTTAAACACACACAATAACAACACATATTTGTATTTGGTTTTTAGACTTACTAGTTTGGTAAGACACTAGTTTCTTCCCCCAAATACAAGACTAGCAATAACTAATGTGATCAGTCAGCAATTGGATACAAGGTATTCAATTACTTTCTGTTCAGCTAATTTATTTTGATGTTTATATGGCAATCTAGTTTCAAAATAAAATTGGAGCCCTTAACTATTTAGCACCTCTACCAGCCTTTTCTTGGGCCAGTTTAAAAGACACTGTCTCCACAAGGAGAGACTTGTACCTGCCATGTCATTAAGTGAGGAGAACAGTCAACCGTCTAAACCTCTTCATTCTTCTGAACCTCAGCCAACCCCAGCCAACCATGAGTGCTTATTGAGTAATTCCTATGTAGTCTACTGTACTGTGACCTGGATAAATATATAGAGAATTTAAGGAGCTTGGCGAATGCTGAGGATGTAGTTCAGTTGGGAGAGTGCTTGCCTAGCATGTGTAAACCCTTGGGCTTGATCCCCAGCACTGAATAAACCTGACCTGGCCATACAAACCTACAACACCACTACTTAGGAGGTGAAGATGGAGGATCAGGAGTTTGAGGCTAGACTCTATTACATAGTGAGTTAAAGGTCAGCCTGGGCTACATAAGACCCCCATTTCAGGAAAAAAAATATGAAAAAGCTTGGATTGATAGATGGAAAAATTATCAGAGACTGCAGATGACACTACTTCTTCATATTAAATCAAGGGATTGATCAAAATGAGCCAGGCACAGAGGGCATGGCAGAGAGTCACTGTTGGCTGTGCCATTCGGTCAACCCTTCCTGTGTGCCTGATACTGTACCAAGAATATTTTTTTTTCATTTAATACTCCAGATCTCTATGCTTCGGTGATTCAACCCCACATTTACAAATGAAGAAACCAATGCTTAGAAAAGTTAAAATAATGTGCCCAGGGCCCTAGAAAGCTAAACTAGAATTTAATCAGCCTGTGTGCTGTGTACTCTGCCAGACTAAACAAAGCAGTCTGGAAACATCCTTCTGACCTTGCCAGCCAGCCAAGGTGACACTTCCAGCTCTCCCTCCTCTGAACTTCCCTGAGAAACTGGTCTGACCTGTGTGTTTGAAATGGTTGCTTCCCAAAAGCATTTCTCAGTCACTTTCATCTCTAGATTTCCTGGAGTGTTGAGCCAAGTGCTTTGTTCCTATTGTTATCTACATTAGTTAGTTATTTTATGAATGAATTAATGGCTCCATCAGATGCAAATTTCCATCCATATGCCCTTAAAATGTTCTGCAGCACAGAGTGAGTAATCTCATCTCAGTATCCCATTTGGACCAGATATTCAATTAGGACTTTTTATATGTGTGTGCTAAGAACATTTTGAGGAAGAAAGCAGTTGGGGCGGTGCTTTCTCTGGATCAGGAATCACCAGATGTGCTGCTGAAGAAATATATTCCTCTCTGGGACCGGAGCCAGGACAGGGTGGCTTCCTGAAGGAATCACTGCTGGTCATAATCAGCCCATTTATTCTGTCAAGACCTTCCCTGAACTGTCCCCGTCTAATCCAAGCAGAGAATGCCACTGAAATTTCATTGGCTTTTTAAAGCTAATAGCTCTGCTTTATAATTTGCTGGCCTGAATGGAACATTCCCAATAATGCTAAAGGAAATGGTTTAGTTAGATCCCTGTGTGTTATCTGAAAGTTTATTCCATGTTCCCTCACACAGTCTTCCATATTTTGTTGATGGTATCTTCTTTTCTTTAGAGAAATGACAGTACAGAAGGGCGGCTTTAGATTGCTGAGATGCATGCGAAGCCAATCTAAATTAACTCTGGCCTGGCTTTTGGATACGCTCTTTGTTTTAAACTACTGTAACAGCAACTGGATGCCAGAGTTGATCATGTCATTTACCTTTATATCAGTAATTAACATTGTGGCCATTATTTCCTAGATGCCAACGTCAGTGTCATCTACATCTGCTCCCATCCTATGAATGATGAGTTAAGGCTGTACTACAGAAAGCTCCTGAGTCTACAAGCAGCTGTCAAATCGGGGTTCTACGAGGATAGGAGTGACCTGCAGAACAGGTTCAGAATCATCACCCCTGAAGCTGTAAACATCTTCACTGTGAGTTTGTCTTCTAATTACTATGGCTTCAGGGATGCAGTAAAATTAAATTGGAAATTTTATAACTTGCAACGCTCTGGTACACATCAGTGAAATATTATTGCAAGTTTAACAGCTTTGCTGATTAGACTACTAGTTGGACTGTAGGAAATAAATACCACAGTTTAACTTTCAGACTTAGCTGAGCTGCCCCTGCCCAGTTTCTCTGTGGCTGAAGCCTAATTGCAGATACAGGGAGGTCCAATCAAATAGGTAGATTTATAACATTCATCACCCTTTTTCTTAATTTACGTGGAGTTTACCGGGACAGTGGAAGGCTGGCCAGGCCTATGTTGGCATAAAACGACTCAGGAAGAGAAACTGGACCAGGGCCTCAATTTCTGACTTTCACACAGGTATTCCTTGTAACTCCATACTTTGGTTTCTTTAGAAACGGATGTTCCACAGCACACGGTTCTGTATGAACAAGGTTCACATCTGAACGTACTGATTTTTAGTGTGAGAATGAACTCACATCTGCACAAGAGTTCTAGTCCAAGGCAGTACAACAAATGACTTGAAAGGGGTTTCTCTACATTTTAAACAGCATCTAATCCCCCCACACACACATTTTATTATCTAATGGGCCATACAATTTTGAAGTTTGTTTTAAAAAAGAAAGACTCTGCATTTGCTAATGGATAGCACCTCCATTTACAGATGAGGAACACCACAGCCAGCTCTCTTCATATCATCAGAGAAGGTAGTGGCAGGGAAGGGGTTAAACTGAGAAAAAGTAAACTTGCCCAGGCTGCAGGGAGGAGTGCTTGGAGCATTTTTTTGGCTTTGTGTCTGCTTAGTGAAGCACCTTCGGCATTGGCATTCACGGCATTCACGCAGAGGACACCTCAGTATTCCTGAGAGTGCTTGCTCAGCTCTGCTTCATTGGCACATGTGGCTGTGGAGGGGAGGACGGAGGACAAGTACCAACGATCACAACTTACTTATACTCTTGGGGTCTTTCATACCCTCCATCAAACGTAAGATCCCATGCCCTCAATGGCACAGCTGATGTAAATGTTAGGAAGCAAAGAAGAACAACACCAAAACCTGTTTTTGTTTAGTTAAACTGTTGATAGTCTCAGAGCCAGAAACTCAAGCTAACACTGGTAGCTGCCAGTAGAGTATGCACATATCTGAAATATTTGTAGACACTGAAGAGGCATGGGCAAGGATAAGGACAGTGGATAAAGTAACATTTATCAGATTCTTAGCATGCATTTTCTCATTTGAGCCTCATACAGTGCGGCAACACAGAAATCAATGCTTTTCTTTTATTGCTGCAAAAACCAAAATTCATTTTCTACTTCAATGTTCGTGGTAGGGCCAGATTGTGAACCAAAATCTGTCTCCTCTAGGTCACTACTACACATGGGAATGATGTTTTGTTTGTGCATGACTCAGTGGCCTTGGGCAAGCCTCCTTAGCTTCCTTGTCCTCTGTTCTTCAGCTATGAAAGGGAGTGATGGATTGGGTAATTCCAAAGTCCTCTCCAAGTTCATAGTCCTCATCTCCGGAAAGGTTGCCCTAGCCGTGCCCTTTCCCGTTTCCAGGCTAGAGCCAGGCAGCTGGCACCCTTGACAACCTGAGCTCAGGCCAGTGCAGGTCTGCATTGTTGTGAGCAGAAACAGGTAGGTAAGGGTTGAAGTACTCAATATTGCTGTTTGGAGCTTAAATTCAAATTATTTGAGTGATTAATCATTCATAGGCAATCAACTTTTTAAAACACAAAAATTAAACTCTCGCTTTCAAATCAGTTCTGTTTCTGTTTAGCTATTGCTTTATTTCTTTTTAATGGGTCTGAGAAATTGTCAGTGCTGATTTTCATCCAAATGGATGGCTTTGAGGAGATTTTTTAAAGCGTGCCAAAAATCTGTTTGTGAATCTCTCCAAGTTACTATGTAAAACTAGAATTTGTCATGGTAAGTGTGCTTGTATAAACTAGAATTTGTCATGGGAAGTGTGCTTGTATAAAAGGCATTGTGTCTATTTTGAAGCATTTTAATGTTTATGAGGACATTCTAAACAACTATCTTTGTCTCAAGTCAAAAATAAGAAATAAGTGATGGTAAAAATGAACGTAGCCATAAGGAAGGGCATTGGGAACATTCTAGATCTTTGTCATCCATGGTTTTTTGCTATCTGGAACTGAGGATGCTGACTTTCTCTAAACAATCTCACAAGACCTGAGGTCAACAGCATGTGCTCTGCCATCCTCACTCACATCTGAATCTTTATTAAACACCTACTGAACATAATACTATGGTGCCATCATGCCTGAAGACTCAGACATGCCCAGAAAGACATGGAGCTAGAGAGAATACTTGTCGACAGAGATACATATATCTAGAGGAGATAGAACTGTACCTGGCTGGACAGGTACTCAGATCTTGAATTTGACTGAAATATCTGCTTTTCCATCTTCACAGTTCATTAACCCACAGACCTTCACGTCTCACTTTGTAAGATGAGCAAAGTACGGTCACTGTAGCATGCCAACTGTGCTAACTGGGTTCAAATCCTCTACTTACTTCATGGTCAGAGCTCTGGAACTTTGGGCAAATCATTCATCTCCACAGCAAGGACGGTTGTATGGATCAAATATGGTGTGACAAAGACTTCAAACTTCTGTTTTAAAGGTTTATTTTATTTTTAATTGTATATGTATGCATGTGTAGGCACTTACTGAGACCAGAAGGGGTTGTTGGATTCCTCAGAGCTAGAGTTGTTGTGAGCTACCTGGTGTGGGTGCTGGGAGCTGAACTTGAGTAGTCTGGAAAAGCAGCTCTTACCCAATGAGCTCTCTTTCCAGATCCAGCTCTGTGCTTCTTCATCAATCATCAAACTCCCTATTGTAACTCAAGTCAGCAGTTCTGGGTGTGCTTCATTTGTTTCGCATGTCCACACTGAAGTAGTCTGTGGCAAAAGGAAGGCAATTAAGTGAACAGGAAGATAGGTGATCACCAACCACGGCTGAACACATCTCCCAAGTGAGCAGGAGGACAGGTGATCACCAACCGCGGCTGAACACATCTCCCGAGTGCTGGCATTAGCTGTTGTCTAATGGAACAGCAGCTTTCCTAAAATGTGCTCTCAGAAGTGCATGTGGAAGGTGAATTTTAATTACGTTAGAAAAGTCCTATTATACAGATCTGAGAGGTTTAGACTCCTCACTTGGAGGAGTGGCCCAATGGTAAATTATCTGATTTTTCTCAGAGGAGCTCTGGGTTTCTCCCTTTCTTACTGTACTAAACTGTGTACAAGGTAAAACCATTTCCGATGCTTTTAAGGGGACAGTTGAGAAGTGTTCAGTGCATTGCTAGTGTACAAACGTTACTACCACCTAATATCTCAGAACTTTCATCATCCCAGTAGAAGCTCCGTACACGTGACATGCTCTGGCTTTACTTAGGAAGTCCTTCAGAGATGGAAGGACCTTAGAGACTTCCTGTCCAACCTCTCACTTGAATAGAAGGAGCTGAGTTTCAGAAAGGCAGAGTGTTCTATGCCCCAGCTTCTTAACTCTGGGCTGCAAAGTGAATGTGAAGGCTGTGAAAATGTTTCTAAATGTTCTATAACCAATAGCTAATTCAACATCAAATCCCAATGAATTCAATGTGGTTTTGGTGACACTTATTTATGTCACTTGACACAAATGCCTCAGTTCTGATCATAACACTCTGCACTGTACATGCCTTCATGGCAAACAAATGTCAACGGAAATGTTGTTTTTATTTATGTGTATGAATGTTTTACCTGTATGTATGTCTCTGCACCACATCTGTGCCTGATGTCCACTGAAGCCAGAAGAGGGCATCAGACCCACTGAAACTAGAGTTTCAGGCACGTGTGAGCCACCACGTGATTGCTGGAACCTAACCCAAGGCCTCTGCAAGAGCAGCGAGTGTTCTTAACCACTTAGCCATCCTCTAGCCCCAAACAGTGCCAACTAATACTGCCTAAAACACCTCTGCTGAGCTGGAGACTATGGCGTATTATGAATTGTAGTGTTTTTACTTCATGTCTTAGGGTTCCTATTGCTATGATGAACACCATGTCCACAAGCAACTTGGAGAGGAGAGGGTTTATTTCATCTTAGAGCTTGTAATCTATCACAAAGGAAAGTCAGTGCAGAAACTGAAAGGAGGAACCTGGAGAGAGGAATTTGAAACAAAGACCATAGAGGACTGCTGGTTACTGGCTTGCTTTCAATGACTTGCTCAACTTGTTTTGTTTTTTTTTTTTATACACCTCAGGACCACCTGCCCAGGGGTGGCATCACCACAGTGAGGCAGTTGTGTCCCACCATGTGATTGCTGGAAACCTAAACCAGGTCCCCTGCAACAGCAGCAATATGACCTCTCACATCAGTCGTCAAACAATAAAAGGCTTCTTAGGCTTACTTGCAGGCCAATCTAATGGGGGCATTTTCTCAACTGAGGTTCCTCTTCCCAGATGACTCTAGCTTGTGTTAAGTCAACAAAACCTAACAAACACTGTGCATACATACTTTTCTGCTTTTATAGGAGTATGGTTTAATTATAGAAATCAGACATTTGATATTTTCCTTCCATCATTTCCCAGCAAGTAAGTATCAAATTTGTGTCTTTGCATTACATTCTGTTAAGACTGTTTGATTTTTAAAACTTGCTGTTTGAGGGACTGGAAAGATGGCTTAACTGTTAAGAGCACTTAGTGCTCTTCCAGAGAACCTGGGTTAGGTTGCTCATAGCCATCTGTAACTCCAGCTGGAGGGCTCTCATGCACTCTTCTGCCTTCCTTGGGTCCTTGCATAAACAAACATGGTGCACATAAGCTCATATGGCCATACAACCATACACATAAATAAAAATATATCTAAAATGCTGTTGAGTTTCTGACTGAGTTATAGTTTTTAAAACTGTTCAATTAATTTTGGCTTGAGATTAGAACATAATTTCCAGTAATTTCTAAAATGTCCCTAAACACACTTTAGGCATTTTGTATTATGTATTGATGCAAAGTAGCATTTTCAACATTGATAACTATAAAATAAAAATACTGATCAACTCCAAGAAAATATTGACATGTTCTATGCCCTACAGTATCAATATTCAAGGACTTAATTATTCTATAAAAAATGAACAAGCATATAATCTCATTAGTATATGAATTTGCTTTCATCTTTAGTAAGTGATACAATTATTCATATACCAAAGAATTGTTTTAAAACAAATTTGTGATTTATTATGAATAAAAGTTTGATTTGTATAACTATTTTATAAATACTTAGAGTTATATAAAAATTTCTCATGGGAATAGGGGTGACAAGCAGGAAAAACTTTAAGCCACCCTGTTCTAAATCACCCAGCATATTGCAGATCCATTTAAGGCTGAGAGCTAAGATCTTTCATAGTTCAAATCTCTTCCTTGCTTGCACGCTTCCAAGTTATACCCTGCAACCATTTTTGAACAGGTGCATTGGATATTCTTAAACACGGTCATTCACTTTTCTTCACATTTTTGTGTTTAGATAAATTTTCCTTAAAGTTGTACAAGGTGCTACCTTCTAAAACCCCTTGAATTCTTCAAGCATCCAGTACCTTTGCACTGTTTTATTTACATGACATTTTAATTGTTTCTCTCTTTCTCTCTCTCTTTCTCTCTCTCTCTCTCTCTCTCTCTCTCTCTCTCTCTCTCTCTTTCTTGTTTTTTCAAAACAGGTTTCTTTGTGTAACAGCCCTGGCTGTCCTCTAATTCTCTTTGTAGTCTCAAACTTACAGAGATCCACCTGCCTCTGCCTCCCTGCTGAGTGCTGGGATTAAAGGTGTGTGCTACCATGCCTGGCTCTAATGGTTTTATTTTTAAAAGAGGATTTTCCCTATAAAAATAGTTACTATCATTTATAAATTACAGGACCAATGTTATTCATGTTCATGATCTTATTTCAGCCTTGGAGCAACTCCAGCATACAGGTCTTTTTTTTTTTTTTTTTTAACTCTAGTTTGACACATAAAGAAATGGGCTCATGGAATCTATGTTATATACAAGTTCATATATATATATATTTATATACACACATATAAATAATAGAACTGGATTCAAAGCCAGAAGTACTTGACTACCAACTTCCAACACTTTCTTGGGTTCCATGCCATCGTCTCTTTAATAGAATGTAAACTCAGTGTAGCTATATAACAGTAGACTTAGTCTAAGGTTCTAATATCCCATCCTTAGGCAATGGCTTTTCCATACCCATCTTCACCTTATAAAACCCTCCCATGCCTCGAAATGCACTTCATCCCCCACTTCTTTTCACGATAATTATTCTGGCATTTATTAAATGCTTACCATGCCCTGCGTACTATCACAAGTACTTCACAGTGCATTATCTCATTCAATCCTCACAACATTCCTAAGGCTGGTACTGTTACACTTATCTTACTGATGAGGAAATGGAAGCTTCTAAAAAATAATTAAATATGATTAAAATAGGTGGAAAGAGAGGAGAGAGAGAGGAGAGGGAAGGAAGGGTGAAAAAGAGAAGAGACGGGAGAGTGAGAAAGAAAGGAGAGAGAGAATGAGTATGTCCTGTAGGTGCTGTTCCCACTCCTTGAAAGCTGAAACATGGTGTATGAGGCTTGGTGTGTGCTGACCATCTGGCTCCTTTCTACCCTGCTAGATATGAATAGAATTACTTGTTTAATTGAATGAGACCATCATAGGCACTGTAGAGCCAGGTCTGCCTAGTCAAAATAGGATTTTTAAAAAGTTTGAATTGGAAAAGAAATTTGAATCTTGCTGTAATTTTCAAATATTTTCTGTTCCTGAATGCTTTCCAAGGTGTTGGCAGGAACCCTGGTAATCACCGTAAAGCATATGTTCCCAGAAAAGGATCTGGGGGGAGGTTTGGGGAGGGGAATCAAATAAAATGCCCTTTTCCTTTGGAAAAAATACTGAAAGCATTGCCAGATTGGGAGTCTATACAGGGTCTATATAGAAGAGAACACTATGGGGCTTTTTCCTTCATTTTTTTGTATTGATTTTCCAGACGCTTTAGTGTTAAACCATGCCAGAAGTGTTGTGGAGATGAATCACTATTATCCAAAGGCCGCCAGCCTCTGTTCCTTCTGACAGAAGGATAATTCCACGTGGATCAAATAAATACAGATGTGTGGTAATTAGTTCTATTCCCAGTGAGCCTATTTCCAACACACTAAAGATGTGAGCGATTATGGAACCTCACCCCAGCAGCTTTTATCAATTTAAACCGCTAAACAACAGGATAGGTCATAACCCAGCCTGCTATTAATAATGTATTTAGTATGTACAACATTATAAATTGGGGTAGGGGCTAGAAAAAGACACATTTTAAGAGGGGTGATTTGATTTTCCTCCAGAAGCATCACATGTGCTTGGCCACTCACCTGATGTACAGTCCCAAAGCAATCAAAAGAATCAAAAATCTCATCCAAGGAAAAGAGGCCTACATCGTGGGTGGGGTCCTCCACAGAGATGATTTAGCTGTGGCTGACATGCTGAATGTACCCATCCTGGGCTCAGAGCCTGAGCTGGTTCACCTTTACAGTGCCAAGTCTGGAAGCAAACAGATTTTTGACAGTGCCAATGTGCCAATGCCTCCTGGAATATATGACATCTACACTTACCAACAGGTATGTAGGGTGGCTCTGTTCAAATTTCTTCTATCCCCTTGACATTGTACAACTACAGGTAATCTGGGTCCAGCCCTGCCCAAGAAGACTATGAGTTGCTCTGAAGAGGGCTACATTATACCTTCATGTTTGTTTGTTTCTCATACTGTGAGCTCAACCCAGAGCTTTTCACATGGTTGGTAAGTACTATGAGGTTTTATCCTCAGCTGTCTTTTAACTTTCGAGATAAAGTTTTACTAAATTACACATGCTGATCTTAAACTTGTGGTTCCCAAGAATCTTTGATTACATGTCTGAACTACCAGGCCCAGAGGCCTTATTATAGAAATTATTAAAATTTTCAAAATGTCTACCTTTTGGATTAAGTTACTAAGTGCTGGTAAAATAATAATCAGGACTAATCTATCAGTATTTAATGCTTTAATATCTATTGGTTCATCATCACATTTGCCATCCAGTCATTTAATAGGACCCTAAGAACACAAGAGTCCGTTTTGGCAAAGAAGTGGGTTTGAAAGCTTTGCAGAGTGCTTGGCGAGACTGCAGAGTACTGAATACATCCTTGACTCTCATAAATGCTCTGGCTCTTCAGGAATGGCTCTGAAGAGAGTAGAGAACCTAGCCGGAAACAGGAAGTGAAATGCCCTCAAGAATAAAACTACTTCCCATTTTACCTTGGACCCAGTCTGTTGCCCTGCACTTCTCCCTTAGCCTCTAGAAATAGTTTCCTTCTGAGTTGGCTCTAGCAAGTATTCTCCCATTTAAATGCCATCTGTTTACATAATAAAGAAAATCAAAAGACAAACTGTTAACATTTCCTAACCTCTATTTCTGAATTTCTCTTGACTGGTTCCCTGTGCCAACCACAAATTATCTCCTTTCCCTTTTTCTTGGAAATTTAAGGAGCCATAAACATTGAGGTAGCAAATATAAGGGTCAGACTTGGGGATCTCTCTTGACTTCGGTTGCTTGGTCAGGATGCTCCTCACAGAAGAGCCACTAAGAACAAAATGAAGCCTTTGAGCAAATCATTCATTAGAAAGTCTATTTTAAAGACACTATGAATTCATCAAGCTTCCTTGAAGTGTTTGAGTCTTGCTATAGAAAGTTACTGGCCAACAATTGGCTTATAGCAGAAACACAGTCTGGGATTTTAGTTGAGGAGATTTTAGTGGAGAGACTTCCACTGTCATTAACTTCCACTGGAATTTGAAGGTACCTAGGTGGATTGCTTAATTTTGCTTCCTAATAGAATGTTTTGGCTGACAGACTTAATATGGGAGAAATAGATTTTTAAATGATACAACTGAATGCACATACCACACTAAACAATCTTCATGTCTTTAAAATGCAGGTGTAATGTTTGTATTGAGTCTTAGTTCCATCTTCATTGATAATAACACAGGCAATCTATGCTCTGAAATATTTTAGAACTTTATATATTAATTGTAGTTAAAAGTATGGGCACATTTAATACTGTACAAACTGTCTAGTTCTAGTATTTAGAAGTAGGACTACAACCCTTCTCATAGGCCCTCAGATTTGAGGGATGTTATTTGACACAGAGTATGTATCAATGGCATAGCAGTAAGTCAAGTTGTATCTGAGTTCTATGCTTGTTTGGAAGACATGCATCTGAGGTCAGCAAGAACTAAAGCACCCCACTGAGGCTTTTCCCGATAGTAATGGCTCTACCTAATCAATCCGAGTGTATCAGTATTTTGAATCTGCAGATGGTGATGAATCAATCCTGACTTTTTATCGATGTGCATTGCAAATTTAAAGTGGGTGAAAGCTGTGATTATTTTAACTTAGGTTAATAAGTATTCTTGGGTCTTAGTTGGATTTTTACAGTAGTAATTTTTCTGGTTCTGCTCTTCGCCAATATAAAATGAATCACAACTAAAATTATATTACATTTTTTAAAAACAGATTCAAACAAAAAATGATAAATGTTTGGAAGTAGCATAAAGTCATGTGGTTTATGACTGGGTTTTTTAATCTAGCACAAGCACAGTGAGCATTTCCTGTTTTGATCCATAAAATAACCATGTAAGACTTTTTCTGGCATGTGTTCTGTATGAAATATTGACAGCTTTGGTTAAATAATCAAAAATGGCAATGCTTTTTTAAAGCACTGTTCAATTTTCACTTAAAGATAGCACATAATTCTTCCAGCGGTGTAGTCTTTACAATACTATTGATCGTTTTCGTGACTGTAGGGATCCTGCCACAGGCACCCATTTATAGGACTCTCGGATGCAACAAATAATAGGATTTGGAGGAAATACATACTAATTCTGTTAGTATTGGAAGCCTCCAAGTATACAGTATATCTAAATATACATTTTTTAAAGGCTGTGCTGGAATACGTTTCCTTAAACTAGCAAAATAACTTTTGGCCAATATTAAGAGACTAAACAGCACTTCTACTTTTATAATTTATACACAGTACACACAGATCACAGCAAAATATGATTCAATGTAGAACATAGCTAATTGGAGAAAGGAGGATGCAACCTTGGAAGACGCAGTAGGAACCTCCTCCTTTGGCTGTGCTCATTAGCCATATGGTATATAGACCAGAGCACTTACCATTTAAACATCCAAATTATCAATAAATACTACTTGATAATCAGAGGGCTGAGACAATTTCATTTTTACCTTTATTGAATAAGCCATAGTTGCATGAGCTTTCTGGAAACCCCAAGTGTGGCTATTTCGGTGTCTCTTCTACACTGCCATGTCATGTAGCATCCCCCAAATCATTTGCTAAATAGACACAGTTCAGGACAACATTGTGCCTTTAAACAAAACCATTCTAACTTTGCAATTCCTAACCTCAGCTAAACCATTAGTCTTCAATGCTTTCAAACTCTTTAGTTAAAAAAAAAGTCCATTTGGTAGTTAAAAGAATAGATGCATAATTTTATGTCAGCTTGACACAAACTACAGTCATCCGAGAAGAGGGAACTCAACTGAGAAAATGCCTCTATAAGATTGAGCTGTAATCAACCCTGTTAGGCATTTTCTTAATTAGTGATTGATATGGGAGTACCCAGCCCATTGTGGGTGGGGCTACCCCATGCTGCTAGTCCTGGGTTGTGTAAGAAATTAGGAACAAGCCAGTAAGCCACACCCCTCCTTGGCCTCTGCATCAGGTTCTGCCTCCAGGTTCCTGCCCTGTTGGAGTTCTTGTCCTGACTTCCTTCCATTATGGATAGTGTAACTTTCCTCCCCAAGTTATTTTGGTTATGGTGCTTCATCACAGCAATAATTACCCTAACTAAGACAATAGAGAATAAGAATATTATTGTCAAGTATGGGTTTCACAGTCAAGAATAGCATAGGTAGGTACAGGACACACAGTCATTAGTGTTGTTTTGTTGCTTTCTGGGAAGTACAGACAACAAAGTCATGTTGTGATCTAATGAGCTTGTGTTCCTCAAAACTATAATAGAATGTTCTTACATAGAATTAGTAGTCTTGCTACAAAGACTTTTGTCTGATTCAAATGCAACACAAATGACTTACTGACTTGGAAGTAAGTTGTTTCTCCGTCTCCTCTGGCCTCTTTCTACACTTCCTCCTTCTCCAGCTATCTGCAGGCTTGGATACACGGCCACATGAGAAGGGAATGAGTGTAGGGTTTGGAGTCAGAGCCACCCAAGAGAAGCCTTGCTCTGCCACTCAGTGCTGTATGATCACGGACAAGTCACTTAAATTAGTCAGCCTCTACTTATGTATTAAAGATATATGTGACAAGGCCAGTTCCTACTGAGTGTTCAATAATGTTAGTTATTATTGTTTTTATTATCATTTTTAAATTAAAGTATGGATTTTTAATTAATTAATGTATTTATTATGTATAATATGTTCTGTCTGCATGTATGCCTGCCCACCAGAAGAGGGCACCAGATCTCATAGATGGTTGTGAGCCACTATGCGGTTGCTGGGAATTGAACTCAGGACTTCTGGAAGAGCAGCTAGTGCTCTTAACCTCTGAGCCATCTCTCCAGCCCTAAAGTATGGACTTCTATTCCTTAATTTTTCATCCATTTAAGTCCAGTTGTTGAAAGTATTTATTGTTTCATATCAAATGCCACGCAGCTGACATTCCAGGAAGGCTGTTTCTACAAGTGTTTTTGTTGTTGTTGTTTTAAGTTGTAGGTTTTTATTCCTTTTTAAATCCTAAAAATAGAATCTTTATTCCCCAACATACTGTTTTCTTGATTATTTGGGAGTTTCACATAATGTACCCTGATCACCTTTACTTCCTCGTCCTCCCAGGTCCACCCTCCCCATTGTGATCTGCAAGTGTTTTTACCTCATTTATCTCTTTCTCTGTACACATTCATTGTGTCACTTGGCCAATTGGCCAAACAAATGTATGTTGATGAGGAAAAAATATTTTAGACATTACAGTACTTATTTATTTTAGGTTACAGTATTTAAAAGCTCAACCGAGATTTCAGGACTATATTTTTATAGTCTTGACATTATTAAAAAATCATTTGAAGAATCAGTAACTAAACACCTAAGTTGCTGAGAAAGAAAGGTGACAATTCCAGGGTTCAATTACAGATGTCTAAAGGTTCTTTTCTTTTCCTCATTAGTCCACATAATAATAGTCTTTCAATTTCTCACAAATACAAATGCATTTTAAACATGACCTTTATCCCATTGGCTAGTGATTTCTTTATATCACACATCACTTCCAACTTCTTGAATTTGTCTAGTGAGTCGAGGGCACCTAATGAACAGACTACGTAAAGATGCACTCAGCAGCACAGCCAAGCTGCTATGACAGAAAGGAAACATGCTTTATTGCTGCTCTGTACCTTTGCCCACAGATGTTAGAACAGTTGAGCCAACTGGTGACTGATCACCTGCAAATCCGACGCTGGGTCTTTAAAATGAACATGGAATTTGGAGGAAACGGGACAGCATTTTGTGACATCCCTTCCCACCTCCAGTGCTACAAGTGGGCGCTAAAGGAGAGTGACAGATATGGCCATGAAGACTGGAAGAAGAAGTGGGCACAAGTGAGTGTTCAGTGGCGACTTAGGCCACAACTGTGAACAGTTAGGAGATGCGACCCTTTCTCCCAGACTCAACTGTCGTCTATGGCAGAGCCTTTCCTGGGCCTTTGTCCTAACATACAACATGAATGGACGTACTGGGTCACTTAACTGTCTATTTGGGGGTCCAAAACATTTTTCACACCTTCAAACTGTTTATGATACCTAAGAAATGACTAAAAAGCCATATTCAAGTAGCATTGCAAATCTTAGCATTTGCCCTGGGCAGATCCTGTGCTTCTGCCAACTATCGTGATTAAGCTAGCCGTGTGTTTGTGTGTGTGTGTGTGTGTGTGCGCGCGCGCGCGTGCGTATGTGTGCATGTGTACATGCGCATGTGTGTGTTTCTACTAGCAAATGGAGGTCCCTGTCAGCTAATGTAAAATAGCATTCTGTCAGAAGCCATGTTCCTGAAGATACTCTAAAGAAATCTATGTAACTACAAGTCCCTGTGAGAGGCTGAGAGAAGAAAAAAACCCAGAAGAAAACTTCCAGCAAAAACTGAGTAGTAGGCTCAGGATCTTGGGCTAGGTGTGGAGGTGTGTAAACCTTTCCACATATGTTGTTGAAATGAATTATACAACCTCAGTCTGTTCCTACTTTGCTTAAGAGTTGTACTAAGCACTGTCCCACTTTGTATCCTTACACCAGCTTCTCTTTATCACATCTGTTCTACCTGACCTATTAGAAAAAAAGAAAAATTGGCAGGCAAACTCCTTATATAGTCTCTTTCCTCCCAGCATGCAAAGCGGCGGGCCTTGCAGTGATTTGCATCTGCTTTGCGCATCCCACTATGGAAGTCTATGAATCAAGTCGCAAGTGATGGAAAGGCAGGGCACACTGGTGGGAGCCACATTATTCCTGGGCAAGTAAAATGATGAATAAGTCTAGAGAACAGTCAGGAGGGAGAGTTCCCTTTGACAAATGGGTCGGTTCTCCCCATGATCTATTTCGGGCTTTCTTCCCCCTCCAACAGTGAACGGACTAAATGCAGTACCTGTCATGGCTAGCTCTTTACATATTATTTAAAGGATACTAAAGTGAATTACTCTTCTAGAAAAAAAATAAACCAAAGAAAATGTATTTAATTTTGAGGCCAATAGAGGCTTCTCTTATGTTCTCTTTGAACTGGATTTTATCTTCTTGAAGCAAAGCTGTCGAGTTTAAACCATGGAAAAGGCTAGTACTTTTATTTTAAAGACTTAAAATACCAGTGTGTACAGTGTTTGCTGGCCTCAGCATTTCAAACCAATCATTTTTAAAGAAATCCCCTGATATTAGACTATGATAAATTTGAAATGTTTGACTTTGAGTTTTAAAAATATTTACAGTACTGACAGTTGGCTGAATTGTGGTTAGAAACCTCACTGTGGATTATTTAATTTCAATTATTTTAAACTATGCCATTTTAAATTGTTACCAAATACATTTGGCACTGTTGTTAATGTTATTAAATTTGAAATTCTTAAATAATTAATGGTCTATTTAAATCATTTAAAAAATCTTAAACAGGGAAAATAATTATTCAGTAATTCTGTTAGAATGCAGGCTTCATGCTTAGCTATGATGTATGAGAAGCCAAAGCTGAAAATGAAGATAAGCCCCCGTGAGCTCCCTTCCCTGGCTCAGGGACTAAGGACAGCTTATACCTGCACAGGGAAGCCCTCCTCAGAGTGGAGGTGAGCTGCGGGTATCTGCTGAGAAGTTAGGGTTGGAATCCACCTTTGTTCCAGAAGACCATTGTAACAGTGCACATTTAGACATCAAAGCGTTATTTTATGAGCACAGGCGCGTTTTAATGTCCTATTACAGTCTGTAGACCTGCTCCTTTCGATAATGAAGATGTTGTGTTATCAAGCCTAGCCGGGCACATACAAAACATATGCTGGCAGGTTATTAAAAATTTCAGCTTTTTGATGAAAGACTATCCTGCAGGCTAAGAGTCCAGAGAAATACTGCATTCTGGAAGAATTACTAGAAATGAGGCTATGACTGTAAGCACTAAATTATGTTAATACTTACAAATAGCATCATTTGCATAGCAGTTTGTGACACGATGCTGTGGTTTCGTTATTGGTATATCATGGCGACATATGAAAGCAGTGCAGTGTACAGGGTGGGAGCTACTCTGGAGTCTTAGAGGTAGGCAGGATTCGGTGTAGGCATTGATATATAACACAGATCACCTCTTTGTCCACTCTAATTTTGACATGAGCTTTGGCTGGCTGCAGCCGAGACTTGAAGCAAAGTCACAGGGGTCACCAGATGCTAAAAAGCCATAGTCACCTTTGAAAATTCAGTATCAAGATGTAGGAACCTCTGGAAAAGCAGAAAGGCCACAATGGAAACAAAACACGAATTTTCATATTTTCTTGGAGGCTGGTAACAAGGCTCTGCTTTTCATCCTATTGGCTAATGGCACCAGCTCTCCTTGCTCCACCCACTGGATCCCCATAATCTCAGTTGTGGAGTACACAGTGCTTGCTAAGGTCTCTGAATCCACTTGCACAAATGCAGATTTTTTTTTGCCTCTGAGTCAGGGTATTTGTTTCAGTTAGTAGGAAGGAAGACTTAAACAAAGGCACACTTGCAGGAGAGAAGCCTCCTGACCCATTCCCCTGCCACAGTCTGTGAAACCCAGCTCTGCTTTCTGTGCTACCCGTCTTTCTTGTGACTGTTTTCTAGTTTGTTTATGGGCAAATCTTCCCTCTCTCAATTCTGGGGCCCTATGGTGGCAATAATGTCACTGGTGATGGTACTCAGAGAGCAGCTTTCTGTGGAGCAGCTCCTCTGGGTAAAGAGTGAAACTGGATTCCTCTCAGCTTTCTCTGTGCCTCCCTTCATTGAACCTCTGCTGTCCTGGAGAGTCTGGGATATGGATCTTGGCATTGCTACTTTACCACTTAATGGGAGAAAGGAAACTGAACTGGCTGGCTCTTGAATAGTACTATTACACATTGTTATTTGGCCGTTTGTAGGAACAGCGTGTTTTTTAAAGATTTAATTTTTTAATTTTATCTGTATAAGTGCATATTTGCCTGTGTACTGTGTGTGTACCTGGTGCCTGTGGAAGCCAGAAGATGATACCCTGAACCTGGAGTCGCAGTTAGAGCCATCTTATGGATGTTGAGAACCAAACTCTGGTCCTCTGCAAGTATAGCAAGTGCTCTTAGCTGCTCAGCTATCTCTCTAGCCAGGAAGAATAGTTGTATTTTTGTTTTTTTTTTTTAAACCTTTCTTTGTACACTCCTTTGTTTTACTGTGTTAAGACATTTGGTATTAATTTCAGCATCACCTGAAGGGAAAGATCCTAATCCAGGGTATCCAAACTTAGAAGGCAGACTAAACCATAATTATTATTTCATTTTCTTAGAGAACTAATAAGTCAGGGAGCAAACCATTACAGAGGAGATCTGCCCTCCATTATGCGCTCAGAGCAACTCCCACGGCCTCTGTGAAGCCTTCCTTGGAAGCAGTAATGGGAGCCACTTGCAGGCAGCTGACCTAAGTGCCTCATGTAGACCATGGTCTGGCTTTATTAGGTGAACTCAAAAAGCCATTGACTTGTTACCACAAATGTCAAGTAAAGTTAAAATATAATGTAACATTAAAATATAACAATATTAAAAATATGTCTAACCAAATAAGTTTGAAATCATGTTTCCCATTGCCATCATTTTCCTGAATTAATTCTCAAATGTGTATCATCTCTCATTGCCACAATAATTGTAAATATGCTAATTAGACATAGGATCTTAGCCATTTGCCCTGCTTATTCATATTCATCACAATTAACAGCTGCATGATATTCTATTTTATTGATTAATTCTAATATGCTAAATCATTCACCTGTCTGAAAACTTAAACTCTTCTCTGGTTTGTTTTGTTTTCAATTGTGGACCAGAGAAAAGCTTTGTTTTTACTTTTAGAATGTGCCAAAAGCAAAAGCAAAACAAAACAAAACCTGTGTTATTCTTTTCTAGGAGAAAGCCCATGAATAGAATGAGGTACAAAGCAGGAGAGCTTCGACTCTATTGTATGTGCTGCATTTTTAGGAAGGTGTTAATGGCTGCCCAAACCATTAGCAGAGCCTGCAGAACAAGGAGCTGAGTGCACCTAAAAAGACTTCCTTAAATTCCTAGAGAAGCAGCCCTACCTTAGGTCTGTCCTGCTTCTCTGGCAGACTTTCTCAAAGCACAGATGGCCCCAGACCACCACCACTACTCTAGAGTACATCCTTTTCCAGGAGGCAGGTGGAGGTGAGGAAAGCTGTCAGCATGCATAGCTCAGCTGCAGAAGGGAGGGGCCTGATCAGGAGCCCCTAGAAAACCCAGCTGCCTCAACACATACAAACCTGTTAACAGCAGAGTTCACAAAAGAGCATTTTATATGTTACCATTTGCCCAGTCATGGGGATATACACTTTGGTATTTTTCTCAATTTAATACACTGTCATAGTCATTTGAGTCTGCCTATACATTATCAAAGAGTGTTGAACAGCCTGCCTTCACAACCAGATGTAGCACAAAAACATGATGAGCAATTCAACTTTCTTTTTTTGCATAAGCCACCAAAAATTTTGGTTATGTTTTTACTTATTTTTTAGACATAATTCAAGTTTACACATTAAACATTTTTAAGCAGAAAAAGAGTTGAAATGGGTCAGTCTGAGGCTGAGAAGTTAGCAACTGAGTGAACACTCAGGGTAACTGAGGGGTAGTTGGCTTCACAAGGTCCCATTGCTCTGCCTCCCTTAGATCTTAAGAGGGAATAAGCCACAACCAAATCACCAGGCTCTCTAAGCTGCCATTTCTTTATCTGGAAACATAGCAGTTCACCTGTCTCATGGGGCGGTGATGAGAATTAAATGAATCCTGTAAAATGCTAGCAATATTCTTAGCATATGAAAGTTTAAGACATTGTTGCTTTTTATTACACATATTAATTAAATTTCTATTATAAGA